AATTAGACTTATATTTAAAACCAACACATTACAATCATAAAAGCTGATAAAGTTCACTGGTGTTATAAACTTCGTTTGAATCAACCGATAAATACGAAAAGTGTGAACATATTGAATTCGGAATTTTTCTATACAATTTGGTTAGTTCTTATTTATTCTTAGAACATTCTAAGCATGTACTCGAAGTAAAAGAATAACTTTATTTGCACTAGATAGCATAAAAGCAATTAATCTTTCATATGATCGCTATAATTTTCTTTTCTTTTTTCACAGGTAGTTCTCACTAAGTTTTTCTAAGAAAAGCCGTAGATCATGATGTATTTTAGGAAATGTCATCCTATAATATGAATTATACCATTGCATTTCAAGTTAAGGTAGACTCAGTTCACAAAGACTATCGGAGCTACGAAATAATTAATTGTCGCATTTTTCAATATTCTAATAGTAAAGTATTGAATAAAAATTATGCTTGAAACTTCACATTGAGACGTAAAGCTGCCGCTCATAATGACTTGTAATTAATTTTAGACGAAGCTATTATTACACACCTTAATCGTAGAATGTAACAAAAATGCGAAAAGCAATCCATTTGAAAAGCATTGATTCCTCTGTTGATGTCAGCTTGTGTTAGTTTGAGACATGATGAAAGCCATATAAATAAGATGAGACATCTCATGTTGCGCACAATTACGAACACATCTTCTGGACAAACAATACTCTGTATAAGTTGAATAGAGAAAAAAATTGTAACTAATATACGGAGAGAAATTGAATCATTTGGCAACGCATATACTCTAGTACAAAAATCATAAATTAATTGATTTCTTTCAGTTATTTCACTGATCTGAAATAACTTTGTGAAACTTCTATGTCGAAGTTATAACTTTCTCAAACTCCGATATAGATATTGTAACTTCAATCAAAATATTTGACTACGTTTTTATATCGAATTAAAACTGTTTCATTTCTTTCTTTAGTGGCATACAGAACAATGAGAAAACTTTCTTGAATGGCATTGCTTCTTAGTGAAATTCGATCACTACTTTCGTTGACATATAAATATTCATGTTGAACACCACCTGATATTTTTCTCTAATGGTAGCGATTTATTTTGCATTGTATATTAATCATTAGATCTGAGCGAGATCTATCGAATGATATCGAGATATTCATATGAAAAAGTGAGAGTACATATTGATCACAATATTTTTGATTGTTTTGTTCCATTTTTCCATATTTATAATGGCCTCACATACTTCTTATTTTCACAAATTTGAATACAATATCATTTGTTTTGTCAACGAATATAATTTTCATTTTCAACCTTTTCCATATCAACAATAAATTTCATGAATTCTTAGAAATATATAAAGAGCAAAATGTTCGTGTTCCTATTTCATTCGTAAAAAAACGTTTTACAACGAAAATTATTCTAGAAAGAGGAAACTCATCACATTTAAACACAAACTGTTACCCAATTTTGATTGATGCTGTGAGAAATATTGAATTTTACCCTTAAGATTTAGACTATTTTTACATTAATGAATAACAATCCGTCCCATACTTTTCTTAACCGCTTACGTATAGCACCTAATGCAAACGAGACACAAATTCTATGAATTGCGAGAAAAATCAACGTTTTATTAACAAATATTAGTAAAACAAAATGGACTAAGAAATCAGTTTAGCAAAGATGCAGATAAACTTTAATGAAACCAGCTTAACCTACGAATCTAGCGAATATAAAGAATTCGATATTCACAGTGAACAAAAATCACAATGAACAAACGAATAACGAAATACCGAAAAAAATGTTGTACCCGTCAAAGAAAAACAAAAAGAGTTTCAGTTCTAAAGTAAATAAGAGTAAACGGAGATACTAGTCAAAAAACCTTCAAATCATTACAAATTCAGTGCTATTTCAGTCAGCATGGCCGCATTCGTCAACGTTTTCACTGAAAGGAAAGATATATGAAATAAAAAACACACTGACACGCAGAATAATCCATAATCTAAAGAACAAAGCGCAAATTCAAAATATTCGAAGTTTCCGATTACTGGATCCAAATTTACAAAGCTATGAAAAAAAACCCACCCTTACGTGCTTTTCGCCGGTTACTGTCAGAATACTTAAATACAGCAAACGATGTAGACATCACACAAAAACGATAAATCGGTGAAAATCCCTAACTCTACTACGGACAATTAAAATTTGGATTTTTCACACACGAATCGTTATACAGTGTGCCAGCGAAAAGATGTTTGGCTGCCCGAGTGAGTGTGCTTCCGCAGTAAAGGTACGGACCCCCTAGGGATGTGCAGTGTCGGTGTAAATACTAAGATACTGACAGTGAAGTCACTGACACGGAGTACACTGAAGCAGTGATCACACTGGCACTGCGTACCACTGGAGCGTCGAAGACACTGGAACACCGACGTTTACTGATGCAGATAAGTCTCGTATACAAGCAAACGTCGGTGCTCCAGTGTCTTCAACGCCCCAGTGGTACGCAATACCAGTGTAGCGACTCCTCCAGTGCACCCAGCGCCGCTGACGGCAGTGATCAGTAAACTGAAACTGCACATCCCTAGAACCGTCTGAGGATATTTGTTTCAGTACCACCATGGGTGTGAAAGTACATCGCCTGCCATTCTGAGTTTCTCAGCAAGCGCTGGCGTTCCTATCTCATAAGTCCACACGCACAGGAAACAAAGAGCCAAATAGGCAAAAGAAACCATTATTTTTCCACTAAGGAGAGCTTTATGCCCAATGACCACGGTTGTAAATGACACTATTCGATTCGGCGTGAAATTTTCACCTAACTCATGCGAATTAGACCGAACGCAGGTAAGATAGTGAATCCACACACGGATTCTCGGCCTCAATGCGTCGGCAAACCCGTTTCTACTCCTAAAGGGGTTTTCTTATTCCATCACCACCCTCCACAATAGTGCCATTCGATTCTGCGTAAAAATTCTACGCCTAACTCATGGGAATGAGATCCAACTCAGGTAAGATAGCGAATCCGGACTGCGATTACTGCGTCGAATGGGTTTAAAAAACCAGTATTTTCGGAGTAAGAGGGGTTTTTTGCCCGATGACCCCCCTTGAAAGTGATACCATTCGATTCAGCATAAAATTCTGCATCTAACCCATGGATATGAAACATAACTCAGGTAAGATAGCGAATCCGGACAGGCATTACTGGTTAGAATGGGTCGAAAAACCAGTATTTGGGGGGTAAGTGGGGTTTTTTGCCCGAGGACCCGCCTTGAAAGTGATACCGTTCGATTCAGCATAAAATTCTGCATCTAACTCATTGATATGAGACATAACTCAGGTAAGATAGCGAATCCGAATAGGGATTATTGGTCAGAATGGGTCGAAAAACCAGTATTTGGGGGGTTAGTGGGGTTTGTTGCCCGATGACCTCCCTTGAAAGTGGTACCATTGGATTCAGCATAAAATTCTGCACCTAACTCATGGATATGAGACTCAACTCAGGTAAGATAGCGAATCCAGACATGGATTACTGGGCCGAATTGGTTAAAAAACTAGTATTTGGCGGGTAAGGGGGGTTTTTTGCCCGATGATGCCCCTTGAAAGTGGCACCATTGAATTCAGCATAAAATTCTGCATCTAACTCATTGATATGAGACATAACTCAGGTAAGATAGCGAATCCGGACATGGGTACTGGGCAGAATGGGTCGAAAAACCAGTATTTTGGGGGTAAGGGGCTTTCTGGCCCGATGACCCCCCTTGAAAGTGGTACCGTTCGATTCAGCGTAAAATTCTGCATCTAACTCATAGATATGAGACATAACTCAGGTAAGATAGCGAATCCGGACAGGGATTACTGGTCAGAATGGATCGAAAAACCAGTATTTGGGGGGTAAGTGGGGTTTGTTGCCCGATGACCCCCCTTGAAAGTGGCACCATTCGATTCAGCGTAAAATTCTGCGTCTAACTCATGGATATGAGACTCAACTCAGGTAAGATAGCGAATCCAGACACGGATTACTGGGCCGAATTGGTTAAAAAACTAGTATTTGGCGGGTAAGGGGGGTTTTCTGCCCGATGATCCCCCTTGAAAGTGGCACCATTGAATTCAGCATAAAATTCTGCATCTAACTCATTGATATGAGACTCAACTCAGGTAAGATAGCGAATCCGGATAGAGAATGTCGAATATGGTGCTAACTTTACCGACGTTACTTAGAACACCATTGATTTCGTTAACAATAGAATAAAATATTTAAAATAAGAAAATTTGACACTAGATGAGCAATTAATTGTTATGATGGAAATATTCGTAAGAAATATTATATCATTGAATGTTTTGGATGGTAACTTATATCATTTTGCTTTCTTCAAAATTCAACTATATTGTGAGGAAGAAAAACAGTAATTATATTTTCTATATTATGTTGAACATGATCTCATCTATTCTTCTAAATGAAAATATCTGATAGAATTTCGTGATTTTATTTCAAGATTGAACGATTGACTCGTACATCAACTCATTCCAAACATCGATGATCTGCTTATTATGATTTTTTTTTTCAGACCTGAATATCGTCAATCGATCTTTGAAGATTTAAAATCAGTAGAACATATATATGCACCTAGTAAGTATTTCTTACAAAAACTCCTTTGTTTTTTTCGATTATATAAGCATTTTTTTTGTAAGGAATAAATTTTATCGAATATCAATCGAATATAAATTCTGCAATGCGTACAATTCTTATCGATTGGCTTATTGAAGTAACTGATAAATATAAATTAAATGATGAAACATTTTTCTTCTTTGTGTACAATATGTTGATCGATTTTTATCAACAGTGAATGTAACACGATAAAAGTTACAATTAGTTGGTCAGTTTTTATTTTTTCATAACGAGAAAAGATAATGAATATTTTTGTTGTTCGTTTTTTTTTTTTTGTTTCTCAATTACTTAGGTACTACATGTATCTATGTAACATCGAAATATGAAGAAATGTATCCACCTGCATTAGAAGAATTTTCATTTATTACGGATAATACATATGAAACAAAACATATTCTTGGTATCGAACAAATTATTATGAAAGTAAGTTGATTAATATCTAAGAAAAACATCGTTTTGAAAAAAGAAAATATAATTATTAACTTTTCAATAGGAGAGAATATCTAATATTAAACATATAGTAAGCTATTAGATAGTTATATTTTATCTGTGAAATATTAATTCTTCTACAATTATAACGGATTTCGTTTATAATCAATCTAGAATATTTCTTCATTCAGGATGAATTTTAATTCGATTTTCGTAGGAAAATTTCGAATTCTATTAAAAAATTGAACATGTCTGGAATGAATGTTGATATTAGAATTGAATAGAAATGAATGTAATGAAAAGTGTATCTATCAATTTAGCCATTTAATTCTTCTTTGGTTAAAGTAATTCGATAATCATTCATATGTAATATGAGCTGTTAGTTCAATAATTTCAGCAGGTAGGAACTTGGAAGCAATATTATGATAATTATATCCGATAGGAAGCTCTACTCGTTTATAGTTGGTTCTCACCCGAGCCGAGAAAATTTGTTCCCTGAATCCGAATATCATTTTCCATCGAAATCTGTCATACGTCATTTGTCTCGATAATGACTTTTGAAATATTATATTCTAATTGTTTATCATATGAAAACATGTTCGAAAATTTTCTCTTTCACTTCATATAAATGCTATTCTACTTAGAGTTTGCAATTAAATTTGATGATTTAAAAATTGAAATATATCTTCATTTCATTTATTTTCATAAATGCTTAATTTTTCTATCTGGACCAACTTGTTATATATTTCTACAACATTATTTAATTACTCTTAAATCCTCAATATCAATAGATAATAATGATGATCAAAAAATGTCTTATAATGTTATCGAATTACTTATGTACTTTAACACTTTTACATGATCGACCATTTTCATAATATCGTTCATCTATAATAGCTCCTAATATATATATATATATATATATATTTCTCTGTCTGTTCTAATAATAAAATTTTATTTAATGTATTTTAATTCGACCTTCGATATCATTTATGATTTTCATAGAAAGAAAAAATTGAAAGTCGTATAAGTGATAGGATTGTAAAAATTTTTCTCGCATTATCTCTCAGACAATACAGAAGAAACCAATATGTGAAACCAATCGGCAATCGAATGACTCATTGGTGATCGATATTTTCTATTATATAAGATATTAAAGAAATACTATATAGTGTAGTAGCGATATCTATAACTAGGTGATTTCAAACATTTAATGACCAATGTTCTAAATGGCGAATATACGTGTCCGTCGTGTGTACACTTTAACAAAACAAAGGACATTCTTTGTTTATACACTCTCTAACCGTTCCATTCATAACGTGTTTAGTAGGCAATAGAATGGTAGCACAATTATTTATGAAAAGTAGAAATAGAATTGGTACGAAAATCTCTCGTTTACCACCAAAAATTGAGAATACACCATTGTCACATATACAGCCGAGGAAAATTTTAATTATACATTTTGATTTTTTTATTTTCTATTACTATATGTTTTTATCTATTAACTTATTATATATAAGAAGAAAGGCCAGAACCCGCTGCATCTTTTGGTATATTTACATTGAAGATGCAATGCAGTTTAAAGTATAAATAGTCTATTAGAAGAAAAAGAAGATTTTCTTTTTTTAATTTCATAGTGTCCATATTGTTGTAACATTTTTTTATTTGACATATACCTCGACTTAAGTAAATGATAAAACCTTAAATTTTGTTTCAAAAGATGTGCCGTAGAAAGCTCTAGAAAAACTGTATGATTGAATTCGTTTTTACCTGTTCTGATGATTATTCTTATACTCAAAATGAATAACTTATAGGTGGCAGTGTCACTTTCCATTATACTGGAAATGTTCGAAGACTTTTTTGCTCTGCATGTATCTCAACTTGATAAAATGACAAAATATTGAATTTGTTTTTAAAAGATATGCTGTCGAAAGCTCTAGAAAACTTGTATAGGAAATCCTATAGCGAATTGGAAAAGTTCTCGAAATATTTTCTATATGATGGAAAGTGACCCTGTCATGTAGGTTATTCATTTTAAGTACAAGAAAAATCATTAGAACAGATAAAATGGAGTTCGATCATACACCTTTTCTAGAGCTTTTCACGACACATCTTTTGAAAAAAAAATTATGGTTTTATCATTTAGCTAAGCCGAGATATATGCCAAATAAAAAAAATGTTACAACAATATGGACACTATGATATTAAAAAAAATCTTTTTCTTCTAATATACTTTTTTATACTTTAAATTGCATTTGATATTCAACGTAAATATACAAAGAAATGCAGCGGGTTCTGGACTTTCTTCCTATATATAGTAGGTTAATAGATAAAAGCGTTTAGTAATAAAAAACAAAAAAAAAATCAAACGGTATAATGGACATTTTCGTGGACTGTATTTTTCTCAGATAAATTTTCTATCTTCATTTTAGTTCAAGTAATAATTCGGTATTTTTTATTGATTATTGTCTTATCGGATTAAAAACTCATTATGGACGATACAAATGATTATGAGGTTAAAGTTATTGAAGAGAAAAAAATAATAAATGTATATTGATTAATTATTCTAGGACAAGGAGAACAAAATAACAACGGATTTCGGTAGTGGTGGTAAGTTTCTATATACTTCAATTTTTATTGAAAATTCACCAACAGCTTCGGGAAAGCGTGAAAATGTAACAAGAAAAATGTATACAGTAAGAAATTTAATCTTATCATAACATCAAAGTAAGTTTTACTTTAATTATTTAGGCAGCAAAAAGAGTAAATGATGGTTCATTGAATCGTACAGTATTAGCAGATCCCAGGTCCAATAAAACGGCGTCGTAAACGGCCTGAAACGGCTATAAAACGGCGATTAACGATGTAAAACGTCGATAAACGGCACCGTAATCCGTCATACCAGATAACGGAAGCAAAACCGGAAAAAAACGACCGCCGTTTTCTAGCGATAGACGGTGGTCGTAATACGGTATGACGGATTACGGCGAAATAAGGCCAAAATTACTGCAGTAATTCGCCGTTTTATAGTCGTTTCAGGCCGGATACGACGCCGTTTCCGACGGCCGAAATGATCCACCTGGGGACCTGACAACAGAAAAAGTAAGCCAGAAACATTTATTTTATATATAATATTGGAATATTTCCATTTCAGAATGATATGATTGAAATAGGTGCTGCTCGTCATGTAAGTATAAGATGAATTGTTTCATTTTGAATTTATAACATATTTATAGAATGAAGAAAAATTATTATCATCATCACCAAAAGCATCACCATTAATTCAACAACAACAATCATCATCTTCAGTTCATCATCATCATCACTACCAAAAGCATCACCATTAATTCAACAACAACGATCATCATCATCTTCAGGTTCTTCATCAGTATCAATTTTCCTTATTAATTGCTTGATAAATATATTGATTAGAATTATTGCAAATATGATCGTATGGTATATAATAGGTTCTGGGACAATAAAAAAAACACTTGAAATATCTTTTTATTGTTCGTTATTGATCTTCCTGCTTTTGTTTTTACAGAACATTATATTAAGATGATAATAATAAACTAAGTCAGAATTAGAGCTCTTTCTCTCTTTTTATTGTGATTTTTTTTCTTTTTTCGCTCGTGTCTTGATGTTTTCTTTTTTTATCTCGTCGTTTGTACCACTGTATCTTGTCTCGCACTTTCTCTCTTATCTCCGTCTAGTAGAAATAAAACAATATGATTATTGATTTAAATGAATAAGACTTATTATTGGTTCGGTTAAATTAGAACAAAAAAAATCTATCTCAATCGATAAATATTTATGTTTCTATTCGAACCTGAAAAAAGTTTTCATCACAATTAGGACAAATGCCATGTATTGCTGGAACAGGTGAATTACATCTTGGACATTGTAATGTTGTTGTATCTGTAATTGTTGGTCTTTCAAAAAAATCAACATATTCAATAATTAAATTAGAAGCAATAATTGGTATAATAAAATCAATTTTAACTTCTGTTTGTTGTATATTTGTTAATTTAATTGTTTTAGCTAATAACCATTTACAATAAATACTATTTTTTAAATCAACTATCGATTGTACATGACGATTATTATAATAAAAACGTTTTCTACGTAAAGGTTTATTATGTTTTATTTCAGACATTTTAATGTGTAATTTTTCTATTGAATATGCTTGAATTAATTTAATTCAATGTGATTGTGTTCTACAACGTTGATCAAGTTTTTAAACTTGTAATTTAACTTGTTGATATAGTATATCAGGATTATTACAAACTAAATATGGTTCACTTTCAAAATAATAACCATTATTTTCTTCAGTATCAATTATTGTTGATAAACGACGATAAATAGATGCATTTCGATGATTTAATAATAATTGATTTTATGTTTTTAACATTAATTCTAATTTAGGTAAAAATTCATTTGTACGTTTATTATCTTTATTTTTAATTATAATATAACCTAATAAATCAATATATTGATATGATTTTAAACGATAATATGATATTATTGACGATAAATTAAATATATTATCTTGTAATTGTTTTTTTTAATTCATATATAAATTATATAAAAATGTATGTGTTAACCAACCTATTGATTATTGATTATTTTCTAATAAAAATAAACGAATAAAATCTTCTAATTATTTATTTGATATTATTTTAGAAAATTGTAATGCAATAGAACATATTGATATATCATCAGTTGAATCAAAATCATTTCGACGAACAGATTTACTTGTTTTTAATGTTCGATTTGATGTTGTTGATGATGTTGCTGATGATGATGATGATGGTGGTGACGATATTGCATTAATTAATAAATGAAGAATAAATGGTACTAATCAATCATCAACAAGCATAATTAATTGAACAAGAAAATGTAATATTGTTGGATCATTTTTACAAAATTTTTGCCAATTTGAACAACGTTGATTACTTATATCTTAACATGATTTTAAATGATCAACAAGACGCATTAATGTAACATAAGGAATTTGTGTTGATATTGTTTTACATTGTTCATTATTATTTAATGAAAAATTTTCTTCATAAATTTTTTTTATTTCATTTATATTTGTTGATAATACATGAAAATCCCGTTATTTACGATATTTATCACGTGAACCACATATATACATAAGTAATTTACGAATTTGACGTTTAAGAAATGAACCTTGAGGTAATACATAATATTCACATAAACATTTTTCTCAATCAGATCAAAGTAAAAATGGACGTCATTCAGATGTATAATCGATGACTTTTTTCATCTATGAGAATAAAACAAAAATATAAAATCGATTGTTTTTTTCTTTTCTCTACCCACTTGATATGGTAATCTTGTTGGAATTTCTCCTAATAATTGTGGATATGCTTAAAAAACATCATTTCCATGATGTTTTCTATATTATTTATAAAAAACTGGTGATAAATCTGTTAATGATTGTTGATTAACTGGTTTTAAAAGTATCATTATTGATATAGATGATGTTTGTCAATTTGTTGTTGATGTTGTTCTACCACTTGCTGATAAAATCATTTGTTCATTTAATAAATTTTCATCAATTGGTTGTTTTAATAAATATTTATAAACAATAATTAACAAGATTTGATTGATCTAATTGTTTATCTGGTGTTAATGATAAATGTAGATATTGTTCACCTTCATTATCACGTAGTTTAAGCATAAATAAAACATAAAGAGTAAATTATCTTAATAAGATAAATTGTATTTCATATTGTGATGTACGTTTAATTAAATCATTCGTATTATTGTTGACTAATATTATTTAAAAATGTCATTTGTCTTAATAAACTTTTTTTTAAAAACGAATACTACTCGATGTTGATGTATGTTGAACATATTTCGAATTCTATTAAAACATCTATATAATTTTCGTCGACAAATGTCCGCCATATCACCAATAAATTTCAAAATTCTCGTAATATTGACAAAAAAGAGAACGAGTAACACACCACCACTAATAACACCTTGTACGATACCAGATTTTGTACTAAATTTATTGACCAACAGGCCAACAACGAAACTAATATCGCTTGCAGTAATTAATTTTTTTACAGGATGTCCTTTAAAACAAAATTCAATTCAATTATTTCAAACATAAATTAAAATGTAAGTCTTAAGAGAGATTTTATGAGCTATCAAGGAAAGCCAATTTTATGTAAAAACTGACAAATACTTTTTTTTATATCTTCTCGGATTAATTATCATATTGAAGAATGACTTAAAATCAAAAAAAGTCTGTTAAAAAAACAGAGTTTCTTAGAAAAAGTGGTTTTTCGATATGAAGATTCAATTTATGAGAAAACTGTAAGAAACGTTATTGAGGCTTACGTACGCTTTCGAATGAAACGAACAAAAACTGGCAGAGATATAAGCTAAAGAATGGAGCTATCATTTTTCGATTTTCCTGAGATCTCTCTGATGTTTAAATGTCGGTAACTCCGGTAAATAACGTCAAAAGATCCTAAAAAAATTTTAATAATGTCAGTTTGATGAGAGAAATCAATTAATGTAAAAAAAAAAGAAAGTATATGTCAGCTTTTACCATAAAATGATACAACTGACGGATGCTTCGCCGACTCTCAAAGCCTCTTTTAAGCATAAAAGCACACATCCATCCATACATACATGCGAATGAAAATTATCATTTACTGAATCTTTTTTTTTTCTTTATTTCCAAGCCATGAGCAGATGCTATTCCATATTTTCCATTGGGCAGTATCTAAGCACAAATAAAAATTCCGTATCTGAAATCGCTAAGAATTGGAATAATAATAGCCTATCTTTTAACTCTTGAGAAGCTCTACGAATTCTGTTACAGTGATTTATAATCACAGGTAAATGACACTGATAGAGGTCATACTGTGAAACTTGAAACACATTCAATAGGATATATCTAGTATGACGACCCTTAAATCAATATAGAATCATCTAGACTCTTTTCATACAAGCCAAATCGACCTAGTTTTTCACGCCGAATACGAAATGAATTTTACTAGTAGTCTTCATTTCTTGGAGCCTAATGGCTAAAATAGAAGAAATGGCTTTTTTATCAAACACACTTACCCATCGATGCTCTTTATATATGGAAGTAAGCATATCTCGCCTCGGTCCGTATTATTTTTTTACAAATTTTCAGTGTTGCTTATTCGAACTACGATGCTGCTTTTTGTGCAAGCTTAATCTTGCGCAAAGATGTATTCTAGGAATTTTAACAATTTATTGCAGCAGATCTCTGTGAAAAGCTAAAACTTCGGAGAAAAATTATTAAGTTTTGATTTTTGTGTATTGTACAATTATCCTAGAAAAATTGAAAATAACTTTAACCCATAGGGGATCAACTTTTTTTATAGAAACAAAACTAGATTTTTGCTTACAAAATCAGTTATAGTTGAAAGCTGTTAAACATAATTTTTTCATTCAGATTTTATGCAAAATATGGACACCATTTATTTTGAAACGAGAGAAACAAAATACACATTCAAGAAGTATAATACACAAATTTAATAACATATGAGAATGGAAATTAGCACTAAAAAACACTTGACACATATAGCAAGAATTAGTCGACTTTTTAGGTCTTCGATTATTGTGTGTACATGCAACACAAACTGTCTGAAGAGTCTTTCTGTGATTTTTTTAGGTACCAGAGATGTAAAATGTCTAGCAGTATGTCTGATTGGTTGCTTACTTAGTGTAGCCTGACCTATCGCTGATGACCGACTACACTAAGCAATATATATTGATTATACTTAAACTATCCATAGCGTCTATATGTGTCACATATGCTAAAATAAAAAATCCATACTGGAAAAACAAGTTTTTGTGTATTTAAGGGCTTCTCCCCTTAGTCAAATTTCAAACCCGTTTATATATGGCCATGTTTCCAAAAGGGTAAAATTGACAAGAATTATATGTGCTATACACACATATTTTGTAGAATTATTTATCTTGAAATAAGCAAATTTTAGAAGGAAATGTACGAGCAATACGATCGTTACCAGAATCAACAGTATGGTCTTGACAAATCGGCTTAAAAGCTATACTGAGCGGAAATTTTTATCGTAGGTGTATCTCACTCAAACTAACTATCAATCCAAATTTTAGCTTATTCGGAGAAATTTTTTGTTAACCGGCAGCATCGTTTCGATCAAATTGACGAAACAGAAGCTGAAAAGCAAATAGAATCATTTTCGAACGTCAAACAGTACAATAAACACAAGAATCACTCATATCTAAAGATAGTTTTAAAAAAATGATGAAAATCCTGTTTTTCGCTATAACATGAACGTATCTGGAACCTTTAGGCATTTACGTACCTAAGGTGAGCCAAGATTGATCAGCAAAACGTTCACAGTTCGTGAATAATTCTTGTTCACCTAAAATAACATGTGAATAAATAACTATCTCGTACCACATACGACTTACCTAGTACTAATTTTCCACGTTCAATTACCTCTCGTGCTTCTTGAAATCGTTTTAATTGCACGAGTATTTTGCTAAAAAATAAACTCAACTGCCATTTTACACTTGTTTTTGGCAAGTTCATATAAAACTTGCAAAATAATTGCGCGAATATTTTTCTTCTTCTCACCTCATTTGATGTACGAATGTATGACTAATATAAATAATATACCTTTCGAAAGAAAGTTTCTTATTGACTGATAGAAAAATATTCCTTTCTGAACATGCGTATCAAAAAGATATAGTGATCAATATCTCGTTCCTTTTCATTGAATCTTAGGAGAAGTGCGAATTTTTTTTAAGGGTATTTGTCTTTTCTGTAATGTAATTCCGTTCATATGCAGCCGATACAAATAAGATATATATGATTCGAAAGACGAAAATAATTCTCCATCTTCTGGCAACAAAATTTTTTTCCAGTAATAATCAATTTTTATTTGATTTTTAGTCGTTGGTTTTTTGTATGGATTATTCTACTTAGATTTTTATATAACTCACCATTTTTGTATATAACCATCTATATTTCTCTCATTTATTGATATTGCTTGATCACAATCTTCTAATCCAACTAAAAATCAAACAAATTTTGAAAGAAAAGATAAAATTATCAACAAGTTACGCTCGAATTGTTTTGCCAAAAGATGACATGCTGCACGACCCGAGAATAATGAAGACATTTCATCATTTTCTGCAGTTCCACCCATTGAAATCATTCGTGTATATATCTAAAATTATGGATAAGAAGATAATTCAAATCTTTTTTGGCAATCAATAGAAAAATCTAGTACCCGCACAGCATTAACGTAGTCACCACGAAGAACAGCAGACAAAACATCTTCTTTCATATTCTGCATCGATCTATTCGTCATTTCGTTACCACTAGAAGCCATGAAAATCACGTCTTATCGAAGGACAACAATTATCTAAAGAAAAAAATAAATTTATTAAAATAAAAATATTAACTAAAATATAAGTAACCACTAGTGCTGAATAGTCCAAGATCTATCACGATGAAATAATTTGAAGTACTAGCAAAAGTAATAAAACGATCAATTATTATTGATATAACAAGAATTATCTAAAGAAAAAATAAATTTATTAAAACTAAAGTATTATATAAAATATACGTAACCACTGGTACTGAATAGTCCAAATTCTATCAAAATGAAATAGCTGGGAGTACCAGCAATAAGTAACAACACGATTAATTAATATTTATATAACAACTGTTATCTGAAGTAAAAAGAAATTCATAGAAATTAAAATATTAAATAAAAAATATGTAACTATTGGTACTGAATAGTCCAAGTTCTATCAAAATGAAATAGTTAGGAGTACCAGCAAAAATAATTATCGGCAGAAAAAAATATAATGCAGGTATTGTTCAATAGTCTGTACTATAGTAGAAGAAATTACGTTTCTTGTCCGTGCTTGTTTACAGTCATAAACAGTGGAAAAGTGGTGCAAGTAAAATAATCTTGTTCATTCTTTCATTTTGTGACTAACAAAAAGGTTCAGCTGTCGTCTTTTGTTTCGCTTCTGAGAGGAAGGCTATCTAGAAAAAAATAATAGCTGTTTGTGATTGATTTACTATGATTATCCTTGTTATGTTTTGATAATTATCAGCAAATAGATAAACAGAAATAATGATGTCGCCCGTATACAGGTAGAGAAAGATCGATGTATATAGATGAAAAACAAATCTATCGGTCGTTTTTTATTCCCTTGTTCCTACTGATATTAAATTTATTGAAAAAGTTAAACAATTGTCTTTTTAACATAAAAATATTTAAGTTTGTTTTGAAGATACAAGTTAGTTCTCTTCGTCCATTCCAGTATATACGTTTAAATAGGCAAGAAAAGAGCAAAAAAGAAGAATAAAAAGAAGAAGGTTCAACCGCATATTTATTCCCATTCAAGAGCAAAATTTTTGTGTACTCAAAAAGTAAGTACACTCTAGAATCGGTCAGTGTGTCCGGCCGAGCGACCGGCCGTTTACGCGTTAACTTTTGAAAGCAGAGTTCAATCATGATGAAATTTTCTACACAGTTTTGTCCCAACAATATCTCGGTTGAGTTCGAAGATGAGAATGAGTGTACGAGCCATTGGTGAGTTATTGTAAAAATAATTATTTTCCCCTATGGTTTCCTATCTGAGGATCAACTAGTCCTTTCTTTTGTAAAAGGCTTTCCCGATCATGGTTACATAAAACCCCAATTATTATATACCATACGATAGAGAATTTCACGAGCTACAAAATGGTATATAAAACATCAAGAAATAAGGAAGCTAACTCACCTATTGCAAAGATAAATAAACGGAAATCGGTTCTGTTCTTGTCCACGCTCTAATTGATCCACAATTAGAGCTCTATCTTCTGATAGCAAAGGCGATACTCCAGGGTTTTTCGGGATGGAGAACTCGAATTTGTACTCCACTTGCCTTGAAGCTCCATTGATTGAGCACTGATCAATAGAAATCAAGTTATAGGGAAAACGACTTTCTTAGAGTAAATCAAGGCAAAGGCCCCGAACACCGACTAATTCAAAGTGAATTAAAACTGAATTAACGAATAAATCGTCTCAAAAAGACGATTTAAATTGAAATAGACCAATCACGTTACTTAATTCGTTTTATTTTTTTCTGTATATCCGGGACCAAAGAGTTCAAATGTGAGCTGCATTCACCCCCAAATCCTATTGGTTGAGCAGTAGCCAATTGAATTCAAGTGTCAATAGAAATGGTTTGCCCGACTAATTTTTATATCCAGATATTTTAGGATGACTGATTTGTCTCATTCACTTTTTGAAGTACACATAAGTCTCGGATATAAATCCGAGGTTTCCACATTTATTTCATCTATTGTTGTTATTTCAATTGACTGAAGATCGAACATCTTTTGCCATTTTATATTTGTTAGCTCAGCTTATATTTTGAGGAAAGAATCAGAATAAACAACAATCAACTCTATATTGGGTTAACAGATAAGTTTCATATACCTAAGATGGGTCGAAAATTTTTGAGGGGCTGAGCCCCCCCCCCCCCTCCTAGCCCAAAATCCTGGCTACGCCACTGATGTCAAAGATAAATTAATAATGGCGTTCGTAGTTTAACAATTTGTCTAGCCTTTTGTTTTGAGACAACATCTCGTGGTGATATTTATTTGAAAACAAAAAAAGATAGTAATAAAAAACAATGTTTACATCTTAATTGTAGAAAACAAGCATAAGAATGGCTAACATGGTGTTTGTATCAAATTATTCTTTCTTTTTTGTACAAATCTGCCTTTTACTTCTATGTAAATGAACTTTCTTGTATAGAAAATTTCGACTTTCATCGCTACGAGTGATCTTCAATTTCAATGTTTGTCATGGATATTTAAAAAAAAGTAGATTTTGATGATTCGTGCATTAACAAGTGAATAGACATTTGATTTTGGAAAAACATAATAAAGAAGATGCATTTCTATTTTTCTTTTTTTATTTCATTATTCACCATCTCTTTTAACAATATAGGAAGCCTAAGTCCTATTTTGGCGAAAAAACCAAGTTTTTCGATTCATTACGAACAAAAAAGCAGTTTGAGAGACACGATAGATTTAATCATTTTTAGTCTTTGTATTTTATTCGAACATTTTAAAATTGTTGTCAAAGGATAGCAGAGGATAAATTATAGTGTCTCTTAGGTCAAGCGCTGAAACTCAATTTTAATTATAAATATTTTATCTTAATTAATTTTGATAAAAATAAAGCTTATGAGAATAGAATCAATTATTAATGTATAATAATCGACAAAAATGCAAAGACTTCTTGAAAATCAAGATTTCTTTGAATACAAGATGGGGAAGAAAGAATAATCCCTAGGAAATAACCATTGCATATAATAGTGTCATAACGAGCTTCGTTTCATAAAAAATTTCAAATTAACAGCATCTACATGCTTTTCAATCGCCACATCCAAAATTCCTCAGTACTCTTCTTAATTTGTGTTTTTGAGTTAAGAATTACTTAGAATCTTAATGCTTAGATTTTGTGTATATTCAAAGTGTAGATTAGAAACAAATGCATGATACTACAACAATCCGTTGTACCAGACCACGGATCATGAATAAAAAACACCAAATAAAAAACTTCTTCATATTTTATATTTTATTTACAAAATATTGTTTAGATCTTTTGTTCTTTCAAAACATAAAAATAAGTCAACCTTAGTGAAGATGACATCATCTTTGGATGTAACACCAGAAAACTTTGTTCGTGTTGTTCATATGCTTTATCATGATCAAGATGCTACAAGAAAAAAAATACCTTCAGAATGGTTACTTAATGTTCAATCATCGGTAATTATGATTTAATTTATTTTAAATAATTTATTTTCTTTTTTGTTTTGTTTATTTAAATAAGCTTTATGCGTGGTCACTTGCCGATCAATTAATACGAATGAATGAAAATTCTGAAGTAACTTGTCTTTCAGCTCAAATTCTTCGACATAAAGTAATATTAAAATTCCTTTTTTTTTTATAATAATTGAAAAAAAAATATTTCTAATTAGATTCAACATAATTTTGATGAACTACCGGTAGAACATTGTAAAGTATGTCAAATATATTTTGTTTAAATATAATTTAAAATTAATAAATGAATATTCAAGGCTTTATGTGATTCTTTACTTGATCGTTTATCTCGAATAGAACTTACTCGTAATACAACAGTGCGTGTTCAAGTAAGAAGATTTTAGTTAAAAAAGAAAACAAAAATCATTGTTACATATATTGATTATTTTTTTTAGTTAGCTGTTGCAACGGCTGATTTAGCTCTTCAATATGTTGGTTGGGAAAAACCAGTTGAAGATGTTGTTGAAAAGTAAACGAACTTTTTTTTCTTTTTATTATTCTAATAATAAAATTCAATTGAACTTTATATTTAGATTAAAAACATCGAGTGAACATATGTTAACATTACTTGAATTTCTAACCGCACTACCTGAAGAAGTATTTTGGAAATTTTCTTTTTAATTACATTTTATTTTTGAAATTTAGCTCAATACATCAACAATAAGAATCGGAGAAAATCGTCGTCAATATTGTCGAGAAAAATATTCGAATTGTGGAAAACAAATTCATGAAATATTAGTTCGTAAAAAGAAAATCTTCTTTTTTTTTCTATAATCTTAAATTTAATTTATTTAATAATTAAAGATATTTCTTCTACAAGTTAATCCTTCACATAATGAATTATTATTTATTGGTATTCTTAAATGTTTTGCATCATGGATTACTATAACAAGCATTTTATGAAAATCTTATACTTACATCACCATTATTGAATAGTATTTTAGATATTCTTGTGAGTTTTCAGTTTTTTATTTTAAATTTTCATTTATTTTTATTTGTATAGAAATCAACAAATTGTTCAAATGAACTTCATAAGAGTGCATGTGATTGTTTATGTGATATATTCGAATTATGTGAGGTATGAAAAAACAAAACAAAGAGAACAATTTTTCGAGTAAAAAATTTTTTATAGTTGAGACTTTACGAGAAACTTAACAAAATAAAACTTTGAAGATAGACTATTGACTAGAAATGAAGATATTTCGGGTACTTGCCAAATTAAACATACTAGCCAACTTGAGCAGAAAACTTCAAAAATCAGTGAAATTTAGGTACAGTATTCTGGATTGGAATGTTTACCGATTTTCTTACGATCAAATATTTCGTTTGCTAGGTTGGAAAAAGGATGAGAGAATTACCGGAAAATTTCGCGTGTTACCATCATTTAAGGTCAACGATCTGATTATTTAGACTTTCGATTATGAGCAAATTATTTATCTTTTTTTTTTTTGTTGTTTATGATTATTATGTGTTTTGAAACTCGTATTTCAGACGCATATTGTATTATTCAATATATACCAAACTTTTTAATAATTTTTTGATATTTGTCTTATCGATGACAATATGAAATACTCTTTTACTCACAGTAAGAACAAGTTTGTTCAGTTAGCATTTAAATCATCATCTAAATTTAAAATGAATATATTTTTTTTTTTATTAAAGTTTTACTGATGAGAAAATTATTTCAAATATAAGTGTTCGTATATAGAAAAAGAATATTGAGTTAGTGAAAAGATTTTTAATAAAATGTTGACTTGCTATATTTTTTCTAATAAATTACTTGAGAAATTTTTATATCAATGAAATACATGATTGAATGCTTTAAATCTTTAATGATATTGTCTTATCAGCTTGTCGAGTGTTGACTGATATCAACTTTTGGCTCTTAAATTTAATCAATATATAAAAGTTGAAAAGTATTCAATCTAAATAAGATATATAATTGATTACTGAAAAGTAATTTGACTAAATGTTTGTTTAGTTTTTTTTAATCTCTTACGAGAGCTTGAAAAGTTTGGATCGAGTGTTGAGTTGAAATCAAAGTTTTGTGTTCTTTTCGAGTATAAACTAAAAATTTTTTGTAGAATTTCTAGTTTAAAAATTATATATCAAGCTTTTAGAGGTCTATAAATAAACTTTGAATGAATATCAGTGCATCAAAAATTGCCCAAAGTAAAATCGAGAATCATTTAAAGTAAAACGCATACAAAAGCAAACATTTTCCTCCTTGAAATGGTGCATGACGGAATAAATGACTTCCTGCAAGTCATTTATCAACAGTCAATATTTTTGAAAAAGGACATCATGTCGAGTAGACTTGCTAAACGAGCTTGGCCATTCTTTAATAACTGTTTTCAAACGTTTGTTTCTTAGGTCAGGTAGTAGAGGATGATTTTATCTTTAGTTCTATGCAAAAACAAACTCAAATATTCTTTATAAAAACTTTGTTTTCGTACTTCTAAAAGATTGTTTCGTAACTCATAAATCTGAAATCTTTTACCCAAATATGGAAAGTATACAAAATTTTGTTTGTAACTCAATTCTTTTCAAACTAATGGCAAGTTCTTTAAAATGCTCAAAAAAGAATGTATCAATCTTTTATCAAATAACTGTTCGATGACTTATTGTGCAATTTT